AGAGAAACCTGTGTTTTAAAGTAGTCCTTGAAAAAGCTAATTTTGAATTCTCATTTTAACATTCATACATTCAACATCACAGACATTTCTGAGCACTTACTATGTGCTAGGCCCCGTGAAATTTTAAAACACTTTCAAGTGAATGCTTCAACATATGAATTTGGGTAGGACATAAGCATTCAGACCCAGACAGAACAGGAGAAAGAGGATGAAGAGCTACCCCTTGCTTCTAGGAAAGCAAGCTCTTGTTGGAGACAGCTTTTAGAAGACTAGCGCAGAGGAAAACCCAGGGGGAAGGCAGCTGCCTTTTATGATTTTTGGCACCAGCAGACCCGAGATCCATCATCAGCCTCCCCAGGGACAAGTCTGTTGCTTTCTTAATTTTGATAATGGCTGTGAACTTCACTTTGATGTGGAGGTGCGTGGGATAGAAGAAGAATTTCAGGGGCACCGCAGAGACCCTGTGAAAACAGAATGCATGGCCATCATCATCATCATGTCCCTACTGTTCCTTGCAGATCTCCTGTGTCCAAGAGGTTTATATGAGCTATTGCCTCTCAACTTCACAGATCCCAAGTGGCACTAGTGGTAAAGAACTCACCTGCCAATGCAGGCGACGTAAGACACGCGGGTTCGATCCCTGGGTCAGGGAAGACCCCTGGAGGAGGGCTCGGCGAACCACTCCAGTAGACCCACTCCGGTATTCTTGCCTGGAGAATCCCATGGACAGAGGAGCCTGGTGATCATCGCATCGCAGAGAGTCAGATGTGACTTAGCGCACAATATACAAAGCTTATATTTACAGAGGATTTGCTGGGTCCCTAGGGCTGCACAAGGCGCCATGATGCCTGTGTTTGCTTTTTTTTTCAGATTCTTCTGATGTGGACCATTTTTAAAGTCTTTATTGAATTTGTTACAATATTGTATCTGTCTTTTTTTTTTTTTGGTTTTTTGGCCATGAGGCATGTGGTATCTTTGCTCCCTGACTAGGGATCAAACCTGCACCCCCTACCACCTTAGAAGGTAGTCTTAACCATTGGACCCCTGGGGAAGTCCCAAAACATCTGTTTCTAAAACAACCACTCAAGGCAGGCACTGGTATTATCTGCCTTCCCCCCTGGGCAAGGGAACAGAATGTTAACCAGGTTAAGTGACTTCTCCCCAGGCTAGTTGGCCATGGAGCTGGGTTTCTCAGCCCCAGCACCACTGACTTTTAGTGCTGGGTCACTCTCTGCTGTCACGGGGTGTCCCAGCCACTGTAGGACCTTGAACAGCATCGCTAGCCCTGACTCACTAGATGCCGGCAGCATCTTTCCCAAGCTGTGACAACCTAAAATATTTCCAAACATGGCCAAATGTCCCCCAGGGAAAGAGAGTACAAAATCACCCCAGGTTGAGAGTCAGGGCAGCAAAGATCTGAATCCAAGCCGGCTGTCTCCAGAGGCAGCTCCTCTAATTGTTACAAGGCACAACTTTTTCCTGTTCGTCTCCAATCTTCTCCCGAAACAGAGGTTCCCAGAGGGAAGTCCATCCCCGCCATCACACATCAAGTGTAGGGCCCAGGGGATGCAAAGCCAGGTGTGACCCTAAACTGAGCCTCATCCCAGTCCCTGGGGACTTCCCTGGCGGTCCAGTGGCTAAGACTTGCAGGGGGCCCGGGTTCTATCCCTGGTTGGGGAAATAGACCCCACATGCCACAACTAAGATCCAGTGCAGACACTCTCTTCAAGAGGGCACACACGAGTGTGTATGTTAGTCACTCAGTCATGTCCAACTCTTTGTGACGCTATGGACTGTATTCCACCAGGCTCCTCTGTCCGTGGGATTCTCCAGGCAAGAATACTGGAGTGGGTTGCCATTCCCTCCTCCAGGGGATCATCCCAACCCAGGGATCGAACTCGAGATTCTTATGTCTCCTGTGTTGCAGATGGCTTCTTTTTTTTTTTTTTCCATTTATTTTTATTAGTTGGAGGCTAATTACTTTACATCATTGCAGTGGTTTTTGTCATACATTGAAATGAATTAGCCATGGAATTACATGTATTCCCCATCCGGTCCCCCCTCCCATCTCCCTCTCCACCCGATCCCTCTGGGTCTTCCCAGTGCACCAGGCCTGAGCACTTGTCTCATGCACCCAACCTGGGCTGGTGATCTGTTTCACCCTAGATAATATACGTGTTTCGATGCTGTTCTCTTGAAACATCCCACCCTCGCCTTCTCCCAGAGTCCACAAGTCTGTTCTATACATCGGAGTCTCTTTTTCTGTTTTGCATATAGGGTTATGGTTACCATGCAGATGGCTTCTTTATCTGCTGAGCTACCAGAGAAGCCAGTTCGAGCAGAGGAGGGCAGGGGAACATATGTGTACCTGTGGCTGATTCATGCTGTTGTATAGCAGAAGCCAACACAACATTATAAAGCAATTATCATCCAATTAAAAATAAATCATCCAATAAAATGCTTTAAAAATGAATAATTTTTTGAGAAAAGGGAACCCTGATGCCTGTGTCAAATCCTAGGCTTGAATCTGGGTGGGAACTAGGAAGGAATCACTGCCCCAGTCGTGTCCCAAACCACATGGCTTGGATCCAAACCTGGGTCTGCTGGCTCCAAACACAGAGCAGGTGACACTCAGCTCAGCTGCCCCACCTCACAGCAGCTTCCTCCCCTCCGGAGTCCCATCCCCTTCCCTGGCAAGTTATAGCCAAGTTTCACATGTAGCGATTTTGCAAATGTCCTTGTTTCTTGTTCAATGGCTGATTCCAATGGCCAATACCATCTGGGTGGTAAAAGAGAGAGTCCATGTGACTTCAGAGATTCAAGGGCAGCAGGCTGGAAATTCCAGTGCTCAGCTGGATTTTGAGCTGTGCTGGGTAGGACAAAATCTATGGCTTATCAGACATCCTCCCCTCACTCCCACCCCGACCCCCTGATGTGACTAAAGAGGGAACCCTGCTTGACATTTCAGTTAGCTCTTTAATTACGCAGAAAGCAGAGCCTTCAGAAGTCGGTCAATCTGAAAGAGAAGAAAGAAAGGAGTCTGGCTTCTAATCGATGGCTGTTTCAGTCTCTTTCATCAAAGGCTTGATCTGTCATTTTCTATTGTCTGGAGTTAATGAGTCAGTTTGAATTAGGCCTTCCATGGCTCCCTGGGATAAAGGGAATTTGCTTAACTCTGTGGACTGCTCTATCCTTGATAGAATCGCTCTGTATGTTTCTCAGCTTATAACTATGCAGTTGCCATTTACTGCGCATCAGCCATGAGTCAGACAGAATCAAGGATTCTGTCTCTCTTAGCTCTTCTGATCGTCAAGTCAACTCAGGTGAGGTTCTCTATGCCTCCTGGTCCTGCCACTTCCCAACTGGAAGGACTGGGTCCTTCCTTCCCTGTCCTTTTTTTCTCATCTATAAAGCAGGGATCGTAACAGTTGTAAAGATCCAAGGAGTAATTTTTGTAAAGTGCTCGAATGGTGCCTGGCACATATAACTGCCCATAAATGTTTGTTCTGTTTATGACTGTCCCTTTTTTACAAGCAAGGAGATCGAGGTTGACGAGGGTTAAGGAACCAGGCCGAGGCTCAGAAGCTGGCAGCAAGGGAGCTGGGACTTAACCCTGGCCCACTTGGCTCTAAAACTGAGTTCTTACCGCGGCACCTTGAGGAAGCAGAGGGGGATAAAGGAGCCGTGCAATGTGCGTGCCAAAGAAGTGGGAGCCACAGAACTGGCCCCACACAAAAGCCCAGAGCAGGGAGATTCCTGGCAATGCAGGGGACGTGGGTTGGACCCCTGGGGTGGGAACTAAGATCCCACATGCCTCAGGGCGACTAAGCCCATGTGCCACAACTAGAGAGTCAGTGCACCACAATGAAAGATTTCACATGACACAGTGATGATCTCGCATGCCACAACTAAGACCCGATGCAGTCAAACACATCATTTTTTTAAAAAGCCAAGAGCAGATCTCCAGCAAATGTGCTGCACTCAACTGGGACGGCTCAACCCAGAAGAGGGAGCCCCCACCGCAGGGTCAGGGTGACCACAAGGGCTGTCACAGCAGCTCTTCATACCCCCAAATAAAGTCCAAACCCTAGTTTGGCTTGAAGGCTCTCGTGGACCCTTTCATCTTCCTGGATTCACCCTCAAGTCCTCCACACCTTCCAACCACCCCCCACTCCCAGACACACACACTGTACCAGTGTCTGTCCTCACACCCACCAGTCTTTCAAGCTTCATGGTTGTTTATACATCCTCTCCATTCCATCTGAGATGCCTTCCTCTTCCCCATCCCCTGAAACTCAGCTCAAGAGTCACCTCCTCCTGGAAGCCTTCCATGACCACCACCCCCCACCCCCAGCTGGGCTAGCCACCTTCAGGGAGTCACCGCAAGTGCTCCTTCCTTCTCTTTCCAGGTTACGATTGCCCTGTAATTACGATTCCAGAAGCAATTGTCTGTCTCTCTCACAGACCCTGAAACTCCTCCAAGGCCCAGCCCAGGGGCCAGCCCATAGTGGGTGCTCAGAAAATGTTTGTGGATGAATGAATGAATGAGTTTTTCAGAGATGGGGAGCCAACTGGATGCCATTCTCTGTGAAAGTGTTGCTGCTGTTTAGTCACTAAGTCATGTCTGACTCTTGTGACCACTCGGACCGTAGCACACCAGGCTCTTCTGGAGTGGGTTGCCATTTCCTTCTCCAAGGGATCGTCCCAACCCGGGGATCAAACCTGGGTCTCCTGCTTTGCAGGCAGATTCTTTACCATCTGAGCTACCAGGGAAGACCCTCTGTGAAAGTGAGATTTCACTAATTTTGTGGATCCACATAGATCATAAACCCCACTAATGTAGTCTTCCAGGGAAATAGACTGGCATAGAGTAGGTGCACTCAACCATCTCCACAGGCAATGAGGTCCCCAAGACTGGCAGTATCCCAGCAGAAAGGATACTTCTTGGGGAAATCATAGTTAATTTGTGAATCACCTAAGGGACAGATAATATTCTCACGCTATTGGTCTGTCTTGATTGACACTAAATCTTCTGAGATAACCTTAAGGATGATGATGGTGTTGGTGTTGATGATGGTGATGGTGGTGGTGTTGATGACAGTGATGATGGTGATGGTGGTGATGTTGATGACGATGACAGTGATGATAATGTTGGTAAAGGTGTTGATGGTGGTGATGATGATGGTAGTGATGGTGGTGGTGATGATGATGATGGTGTTGATGGTAGTGATGGTGGTGGTGATGATGATGATGGTGTTGATGATGGTGATGGTGGTAGTGTTGATGACAGTGATGATGGTGATGGTGGCGATGTTGATGACGATGACAGTGATGATAATGTTGGTAAAGGTGTTGATGGTGGTGATGATGATGGTAGTGATGGTGGTGGTGATGATGATGATGGTGTTGATGACAGTGATGATGGTGATGGTGGCGATGTTGATGATGATGACAGTGATGATAATGTTGGTAAAGGTGTTGATGGTGGTGATGATGATGGTAGTGATGGTGGTGGTGGTGATGATGATGGTGTTGATGATGGTGATGGTGGTAGTGTTGATGACAGTGATGATGGTGATAGTGGTGATGTTGATGATGATGACAGTGATGATAATGTTGGTAAAGGTGTTGATGGTGGTGATGATGATGGTAGTGATGGTGGTGGTGGTGATGATGATGGTGTTGATGATGGTGATGGTGGTGGTGTTGATGACAGTGATGATGGTGATGGTGGTGATGTTGATGACGATGACAGTGATGATAATGTTGGTAAAGGTGTTGATGGTGGTGATGATGATGGTAGTGATGGTGGTGGTGATGATGATGATGGTGTTGATGATGGTGATGGTGGTGGTGATGATGACAGTGATGATGGTGATGGTGGTGATGTTGATGACAATGACAGTGATGAGAATGTTGGTAAAGGTGTTGATGGTGGTGATGATGATGGTAGTGATGGTGGTGGTGATGATGATGATGGTGTTGATGATGGTGATGGTGGTAGTGTTGATGACAGTGATGATGGTGATGGTGGCGATGTTGATGACGATGACAGTGATGATAATGTTGGTAAAGGTGTTGATGGTGGTGATGATGATGGTAGTGATGGTGGTGGTGGTGATGATGATGGTGTTGATGATGGTGATGGTGGTGGTGTTGATGACAGTGATGATGGTGATGGTGGTGATGTTGATGACGATGACAGTGATGATAATGTTGGTAAAGGTGTTGATGGTGGTGATGATGATGGTAGTGATGGTGGTGGTGATGATGATGATGGTGTTGATGGTAGTGATGGTGGTGGTGATGATGATGATGGTGTTGATGATGGTGATGGTGGTAGTGTTGATGACAGTGATGATGGTGATGGTGGTGATGTTGATGACAATGACAGTGATGAGAATGTTGGTAAAGGTGTTGATGATGATGATGGTGTTGATGGTAGTGATGGTGGTGGTGATGATGATGATGGTGTTGATGATGGTGATGGTGGTAGTGTTGATGACAGTGATGATGGTAATGGTGGCGATGTTGATGACGATGACAGTGATGATAATGTTGGTAAAGGTGTTGATGGTGGTGATGATGATGGTAGTGATGGTGGTGGTGATGATGATGATGGTGTTGATGGTAGTGATGGTGGTGGTGATGATGATGATGGTGTTGATGGTAGTGATGGTGGTGGTGATGATGATGATGGTGTTGATGATGGTGATGGTGGTAGTGTTGATGACAGTGATGATGGTGATGGTGGCGATGTTGATGATGATGACAGTGATGATAATGTTGGTAAAGGTGTTGATGGTGGTGATGATGATGGTAGTGATGGTGGTGGTGGTGATGATGATGGTGTTGATGATGGTGATGGTGGTGGTGTTGATGACAGTGATGATGGTGATGGTGGTGATGTTGATGACGATGACAGTGATGATAATGTTGGTAAAGGTGTTGATGGTGGTGATGATGATGGTAGTGATGGTGGTGGTGATGATGATGATGGTGTTGATGATGGTGATGGTGGTAGTGTTGATGACAGTGATGATGGTGATAGTGGTGATGTTGATGATGATGACAGTGATGATAATGTTGGTAAAGGTGTTGATGGTGGTGATGATGATGGTAGTGATGGTGGTGGTGGTGATGATGATGGTGTTGATGATGGTGATGGTGGTGGTGTTGATGACAGTGATGATGGTGATGGTGGTGATGTTGATGACGATGACAGTGATGATAATGTTGGTAAAGGTGTTGATGGTGGTGATGATGATGGTAGTGATGGTGGTGGTGATGATGATGATGGTGTTGATGGTAGTGATGGTGGTGGTGATGATGATGATGGTGTTGATGATGGTGATGGTGGTAGTGTTGATGACAGTGATGATGGTGATGGTGGCGATGTTGATGATGATGACAGTGATGATAATGTTGGTAAAGGTGTTGATGGTGGTGATGATGATGGTAGTGATGGTGGTGGTGGTGATGATGATGGTGTTGATGATGGTGATGGTGGTGGTGTTGATGACAGTGATGATGGTGATGGTGGTGATGTTGATGACGATGACAGTGATGATAATGTTGGTAAAGGTGTTGATGGTGGTGATGATGATGGTAGTGATGGTGGTGGTGATGATGATGATGGTGTTGATGGTAGTGATGGTGGTGGTGATGATGATGATGGTGTTGATGATGGTGATGGTGGTAGTGTTGATGACAGTGATGATGGTGATGGTGGTGATGTTGATGACAATGACAGTGATGAGAATGTTGGTAAAGGTGTTGATGGTGGTGATGATGATGGTAGTGATGGTGGTGGTGATGATGATGATGGTGTTGATGATGGTGATGGTGGTAGTGTTGATGACAGTGATGATGGTGATGGTGGCGATGTTGATGACGATGACAGTGATGATAATGTTGGTAAAGGTGTTGATGGTGGTGATGATGATGGTAGTGATGGTGGTGGTGGTGATGATGATGGTGTTGATGATGGTGATGGTGGTGGTGTTGATGACAGTGATGATGGTGATGGTGGTGATGTTGATGACGATGACAGTGATGATAATGTTGGTAAAGGTGTTGATGGTGGTGATGATGATGGTAGTGATGGTGGTGGTGATGATGATGATGGTGTTGATGGTAGTGATGGTGGTGGTGATGATGATGATGGTGTTGATGATGGTGATGGTGGTAGTGTTGATGACAGTGATGATGGTGATGGTGGTGATGTTGATGACAATGACAGTGATGAGAATGTTGGTAAAGGTGTTGATGATGATGATGGTGTTGATGGTAGTGATGGTGGTGGTGATGATGATGATGGTGTTGATGATGGTGATGGTGGTAGTGTTGATGACAGTGATGATGGTAATGGTGGCGATGTTGATGACGATGACAGTGATGATAATGTTGGTAAAGGTGTTGATGGTGGTGATGATGATGGTAGTGATGGTGGTGGTGATGATGATGATGGTGTTGATGGTAGTGATGGTGGTGGTGATGATGATGATGGTGTTGATGATGGTGATGGTGGTAGTGTTGATGACAGTGATGATGGTGATGGTGGCGATGTTGATGATGATGACAGTGATGATAATGTTGGTAAAGGTGTTGATGGTGGTGATGATGATGGTAGTGATGGTGGTGATGATGATGATGGTGTTGATGATGGTGATGGTGGTAGTGTTGATGACAGTGATGATGGTGATGGTGGCGATGTTGATGACGATGACAGTGATGATAATGTTGGTAAAGGTGTTGATGGTGGTGATGATGATGGTAGTGATGGTGGTGGTGATGATGATGATGGTGTTGATGATGGTGATGGTGGTAGTGTTGATGACAGTGATGATGGTGATGGTGGCGATGTTGATGACGATGACAGTGATGATAATGTTGGTAAAGGTGTTGATGGTGGTGATGATGATGGTAGTGATGGTGGTGGTGGTGATGATGATGGTGTTGATGATGGTGATGATGATGATGGTGGTGATGGTAATGGTGGTGGTGATGATGGTGATTGTAGCCATAATTCAGAAGGCACCAATATGTACCATGCACTGAGGTTGGTCCTTTAAATAAAGAGCAATTGCCAGCCCTGCATGCATATATAACACACAACTGCAAATGTCTACAAAAGTTGAATAATCGTTTCCTATGTTGAGGGAAGGAAAGGTAATCTTTGTGTACAAGCTTTAAACCCGCTCTTTGGATGAAACCTTCAACCATATGCCTCTGGCATTTTCATACACATTCTTCCATTTTATTCTTTTCTTTCACAACCAAGTGAAGATAGTAAGCAAAGCCCAGAGCTCTTCCAGCTAAAGATCTGCTGTGCTGAATGGTTTTTGTGATTTTATCTTCTTTTTTTCCCTCCTTTTGGTTCAGTTGTATTTAGTTTATGAGACTCGTGTTCCTTCAGTGGGATCAGTACTTTTTCTTTCTGCTTGGTTTTATACAGTAATCACAAAAAATGCAATAAAATATTAAAGTCTTTGGCACAAACTGCTGTGTGGATGAAGGTAGAGACCCTCTTTGAGAGGAACTGCCTACCAAGAGGCATCATCACACGGATGTCAAGCTGGATTTGCCTCGGCTGATGTTCTAAATCCCAAACTCACATGGAAGAAATAGTGTACAAGCTTTAGTGTAAATGCCTCCAAAGCACAGTTTGTCACAAAAATGGATACAAGAAAATCAGAACTTCCAGTATTGTTCTTATATCCATTTGTCTGATAGGATATTGTAACTCAGAGCAGTCAAGTAAGTCACTCAATATCACACAGGCAAGGAGAAGCAGAACCAGGATGTGAGGAATTTAGCACCTGTGTTTATCAACTGTTGATGATGTTTACTGAGCACTTAGTATGCACTAAATACTGTTGCAAGCACTGTCAGTCTTTAACTCAATCATTACGACACCCCTAGAACAAGTGTTCCCATCTTACAGATGGATAAACTGAGGTGCAGAGAGACTGAGCAACTCACTGTGGTCACCCCACGACAGGTAGTGAACCCAGACCTTGAACCTAAGTCGTCAAGCCTCTTTCTCTCTTAAGGTTTCTTGACGAGCATCCTCAAGCCAAACTCTCAGCAGAGACCCTGAACATAAAGCACTCCCATGTTGCAGAAGAAGGACCTAAGACATGGCCAAGAGGGGAACTCCGTGCCCTGGGACAGGGTTCACTGAAGGAGCTGGTGCTTTCCTGCAGGGAAGCGGCTCCACCATCAAAGGCTTGTGTATCAGAAGTCAACCTTGCAGCTCAAGGACATCTGAGCCAGGGCCAGTGCAGCTTTGCTAAGGAGTATTGCTCTGAGAACTGCTTCTCCTGCACGTCGCCTTGTCATGAGAAGCTGTCAGGTCTCAAAGAGCTGAAACAGGAACTTAATTTAATGCTACAGAAAGCAATGCTGTGTGGGTCTCTCTAGGCTCAACTCTAATAGTGTTTGTGCTTTTCCCATTAAAGCACCAAAGTGCAAACCACTTGACCTCTCAGTGCAGCAAAAGGAACGAGGGCTCGGAAGTCAGATCTTGGATCAAGTTGGGGTTCTGCCAGTGACTCACTGTGTGATCAGGGCCAAATGACTCAACCTCTCTGAGCCTCAGGCTTCTTTTACATTGAGAGTGAAGAATCAGGGTTTTTCAAAGTACCCTGCTGCCTCCAATATCCTGGCCTCCTGTGCCACACACTAAAGGAAATATACCTTATGAACTAGCCTGAGCTTCTGTCAATTACGGTTCAGACCTATGTGTTATTGTTGTTCAGTCACTAAGTCATGCCCACCTCTTTGTAACCCCATGAACTGCAGAACACCAGGCTTCCCTGTCCTTCACTATCTCCCGGAGCTTGCTCAAATTCATGTCCATTGAGTCAGTGATGGCTATCTAACCATCTTAGCCTCTGTTGCCCCCATCTCCTCCTGCCTTCAACCTTTCACAGCATCAAGGTCTTTTCCAGTGAGTCAGCTCTTTGCATCAGGTGACCAAAGTATTGGAGCTTTGGCTTCAGCATCAATCCTTCCAATGAATGTTTAGGGTTGATTTTCTTTTAGGATTGACTGATTTGATCTCTTTGCTATCCAAGGGACTCTTAAGAGTCTTTTCCAGCACCACAATTTGAAAGCATCAATTCTTTGGTGCTCAGACTTAGTTACGATCCAGATCACACATCTGTACATGACCACTGGAAAAACCATAGTTTTGACTATACAGGCCTTTGTTGGCAAAGTGATGCCTGTGCTTTTTAACATGCTGTCTAGATTGGTCATAGCTTTCCTTTCAAGGAGCAAGTGTCTTTTAATTTCATGGCTACAGTCACTATCCACAGTGATTTTGGAGCCCAAGAAAATAAAATCTGTCACTGTCTTCACTTTTTCCCCTTCTATTTGCCATGAAGTGATAGGACCAGATGCCATGATCTTAGTTTTTTGAATGGAGTTTTAAGCCAGGCTTTTCCCTCTCATCTTTCACCCTCATCAAGAAGTTCTTTAGTTCATCTTCACTTTCTGCCATTAGAGTGGTATCATCTGCTATTATTCATAGATGCCACTTTTTGAATACCCTCAGTTCAGTTCAGTTCAGTTCAGTTGCTCAGTCATGTCTGACTCTTTGTGACCCCATGAATCGCAGCACGCCAGGCCTCCCTGTCCATCACCAACTCCCTGAGCTTACTCAAACTCATGCCCATCGAGTCAGTGATGCCATCCAGCCATCTCATCCTCTGTCATCCCCTTCTCCTCCTGCCCCCAATCCCTCCCAGCATCAGGGTCTTTTCCAATACTACGTGCTAATCATTTACTCACCATGAAACTCCTGGTAGATAGATATTACTTAGGCCCATGGGAAAAATAAAGAAACTGAAGCTCAATAAGTCCCATATGCCCAAGGACACATGCTATCTATGTGGTACATACAGGTCTAGACCCCCAGATTTTGAGACTCAAAGTTTGTGCTCTTTCTGCCACTTCTCCCTGTAATCTCAGATCTTGGTCTGCCAAACGAAAGCTTAAGAACAGCCTATCAACATAAAAAATATTCACTACCTAAAAGTTGAGAGTTATGTTTTATTTGGTGGGAATTTTTAGGACATTAAGCCCAGGAGACAGCACCTCAAGTGACCCCGAGAGAACTACTCCAAGGAGGCGAGAGGAGGAGCCAGGTTTTATATAGAAGTGTTGCAACAAAGGGCAGGTAGTCTGCACATCGAAAGATTACTGTTAATTTTAAAAAAAAAAAAAAACAGATAACCCAAGTTAAGGAATTTAGCACTCTTCTATATGTGGGAGATGTAAGAGAATGGCTCACTGGAATCATTCCTTTGGTAGGCACCTCAGTTATCTGGGGCCACGATCCTGTGCTTTCACATCCTGAGCTTCCTCGGGGCTCACCGTAGGGAGTGGCCAGTCTGACGGCTGCTAACCGGCAAGTATTCTTCTCCTTCCCCAGCTCCCTTAGGGCTCACTGGCTCATGCTGGACACTTGCAATCGCTGATGACTCTGACATTCCTGTTTACTGATATGGCAGGAAATATTCCAGGTTTCAAGCTCATATGTTTCATATGCATTCAACAGGTCCCCACTGAGCATCTGTTGTGGGCCAGGTGCCATGTGCTACATTAGAGACACAGCAATGGTAGAGATGAACCAGGATCCTTGGGTTCACAGGGGCTCAATCAATCTGCTCAAACCAGTCAATCCTAAAGGAAAGCAACCCTGAATATTCATTGGAAGGACTGATGCTGAAGCTGAAGCTCCAATACTCTGGCCACCTGATGCAAAGAGCTGACTCATTAGAAAAGACCGTGATGCTGGGAAAGATTGAGGGCAGGAGAAGAAACAGGCAACAGAGATAAGATGGTTGGATGGCATCACGGATTCAATGGACATGAGTTTGAGCAAACTCTGGGAGATAGTGAAGGACAGGGAAGCCTGGTGTGCTGCAGTGCATGGGGTCGCAAAGAGTTGGACACAGCTGAACGAATGAACAACAACAATCTATCTCACAAGGGTGTAGGGGGAGTGGTGGAACAATGCAGTTCTAATAAGATACAATCGTGGTTTGAATGTGAATGAGATGTTGGCAGATACACGCGGGAAGGATTCATTTCCATTCCCATAAAAGAAGACTCTTGGTGGGTGGTGGTAAACATGTCCCGGGGTGGAGCCGGAGAAAATTGTGCTCAAGCCACATCCTAGATTTACTGCAAAATGGAAAACAGTACTGACTGTGAAAGTGCTGAAGATCTGAAACTGAAATTGAATCACGAACACAAATCATGTCTGAGTTTCAGAGAAGTTTGAAGTTTGCATAAAATTTATCCAGAAGATGAGATGAGGAAGAAGGGGAAAAATGCATATGTTTACACATTAGTCCAGAGTACCTGGGTCAGGAAGATCCCCTGGAGGAGGAAATGGCAACCTACTCCAGTATTCTTGCCTGGAGAATCCCATGGACAGAGAAGCCTGGCGGGCTACAGTCCAAAGGGTCGCAAAACAGTCGGACACAACTGAGTGACTGAGCACACACACCAGAAAGTACTTATCTCAAAAGAGTGTCGACCTAGAAGTGAATATTTTGAACACTTATTTTTTTGAATATTTTACTCATTTCCAACAAACACTTATTATATTGGGAAAAGGGAATAAACAAGACTCGACACTAAAGACTCCCGGGAATGGATGGGGGTGGGACATGGATGTTGTAATAATAATACAACACTATAATGTTGTAAGGGCTGTGGGCTCCAAAAGAAAGAAGTAATTTGTCCCTGCCTAGCAATTCGTTCCTACAAGTTTTCCTGGAAGGAAAGATGAACAAAATGGGTCTCAAGGGTGGACAAAAGGGTGTGGGGACCACAAGAGAAAGGGTAATCAGACAAAGGGAATCAGAGATGCAAAGATAGGGAAGCATGTTTAGAAATTACAGAGAGGGTCAGGATGGTACTGTGGATGGTGCAAAGATGGGAATAAAACTGGGTGTACCAGCATTAGCAGAAAAGATCGTAGAAGGACTTGAAGGTCACACTCTAA